TCTGGCTGGAAGCGTATTGGTGCAAATGAGTAATCATACACAATGCAGCTCCAGAAGTTAAATTTCTCTAAAACAAATGATGAGAGGCTAGGAGATGTTTTAAGTGTAATGAGCGGAATACTGGGAAAAAGCTGTGTATCCCATACATTCCCTCTCCTAATTCCTCCTAGATTAAGACATCTCAGAGGACACTAGAGATGAGTTCAAAAACGAAAACAAACAGAAACCCCATGACATCCAGATATTCCCACCGATCAATGAATTCGTCAGATCTAATACCGAGAGAGGTTATATATATATCTTAAGCTGAATAGTTATGATAATTATGAGTGTTTGAATAATAGTACGAACTAGGAATCCCAGGAATAACGCAATTGGATCAAAAATACTCGTTAACCACGAACGAATGTACTGTATTTGGAATTCGAAATCAAGCATTCGACAAGTACAAAGGGATTATTAGTTCATTCAAACACCACAGTAATTCAAGAAAAACAGATTATCAGCAGGAGTTGTCCAGAAGACCAGTACTGTCTGTGTTTTATCTCCTGTTGAGTTATGTGATATCCTTCGGTTTCGGGCAATTTTCCAGTCATCTAGGGTGTGTGTTCTGTGTACAAAGGTGTCATTTCAATCACAAATGAGAATCCAGGTGATTTTATTCATTGCCAACTAAGATCTCTAGTTTCCAGGGTCAAATTTGATTCCCCTTTCGTGTTTGCAATAATAGCGCCGGGGTGAATCCTAGTACTGATACTGCCTTACTTTTTAGATAAAAGGTCAGTAATAAGTAACTTCGCTAGTCATTCGGGAGCTTAAGTATAAGTTTTTGTATTAGGATGAGAAATTTAGTTACCCTTGGTAGAATTTTCGAAGTGCCAGTCCAACTATATAGCGTATTGCGAACTTACTTTTATATGACTAGCTTGAAAAGTATTTCCATAAGTACTAATTGCCATAGTTCTCCCTCGGTCAGATCTGCAATATTTTCAAGTTTTTCTGAGAAAATAATTGTTTAAGTAAACTCATCAAGGTGCAATATCACATTGTTGGACCTTGAAGTAACATTCTCGTGTTGGGAGCCAATGAAAATTTTTCGCACAACTCTGAAAACATATTGTGATTTTATTTTTTTACTGATGATTCTCAACATTTTTGGTTCACACATTTCTTGCTTAGTTTGGTACTGTTATCACAATTATCTCCGCTTGACACAGGCGTTCTATAAATAGAAGCTATTTAATTCACAACCACTGATGTAAAATCAATATACGTGGAATTTAGTTCGATAATAAGCACAGTTGTAAATAATTATCACTTGTGTAACGTTTATGAACCTCAACTGCGCTTAGTTCCTGCTACATATGTTTCTACTCTGTATATATACAGAGTATTACCTAAGTATACTTAGGTAATTTACTGTAGTATATTGCTTACTGTATCATATTGACGGGAAAGGCGTAACTCAAAAATGAAATGTTTTGTAAGGTTTCTGAAAAATGGAAAGTTAACCGTGCGAAGAATTCTCATTTCTAACTAACCCTGTCCTGTCTAAATAACTTTTTGGTGAACTGCAAGCACTTTTAGTGATTTAGAAAAGACTAGTGAAATCTAGTGTTTTTTTATGACTTGGGGTGTGAGGTGGAATTCTCCAATCGGTCTACCCTGGAATAAATCCATTATGGCATTATCAGTCAGTTTTTTCATTGAAGACTTAAACTGACTCAGCGTATGAACAATATACTTAGTGGTGGATGTTAACATCTGAATGCAGGGTCCAAATATCATGAACTGGAAAGCAATTTATGGTGACAATTGAATAATATATCCTACTTTGATGACTAGTCTTGCAATTAAAGGCCTTAACTTATACTAGAGTTGTTACATAGACTCAAGGACTCGGCTGGGTTTTATTGACTTATGTAATTTAAGTCATAAGCCAGGTAACTAAGTAGTACTTTCGCTTTTAATATACCACTTGGGATCGCATTATATTGTTATGTTGCTTTGAGACATGTCTTTTTAAAGTGAACGACAGTGTATCCCTATATACTAAGATTGCAATAAGCAGTGTTGATGTTACCGTTTGGATGTCGAATGGAAAGTCCACTATGTATAAACATTTACCATGATTTGACTGTCTTTCCAAAAAGAACTGGGATAATATGCAGCATAAAGATAAAAGTATGACAATCATCCTCCATTTCGATAGTTATTAGCTGACTAATCCCGGGACGGTCTAGGGAAAGCTGATTTATGCGTCATGAACTTCCTTCGTACCATCTTTGTGATGATCCATCTAAGGGATTTCAGAAAATCCTAAAACACAGAATCAAACCTTAACAAAATAAGATGAAAGAGTAAATATTTAACAGCTGTCAGGCCAGCAGTCGGTCAGCCGCAACGTAGGACCAGGCACACATATGCATCAGTCCAAGTTGCCATACCTCATTAGCACAAAAAAATGTACGCCGAATTCATAGAAGTAGTTGCTTCAACGGTAGTAACAAATATAAAAGATTGCATGTAAAAATATGGTACAGGATGAAAGAATTAATTGGTACAAAGAAAGGTATGAAGCAACTTTAATCTTATGGTTTAAAGGAAGACAGGGAGTGTATACACCGACGCCATAGTGATCGACCCTGAACCATGTCACCCAGAGTCTCCAAACATTCGTTACGATAGTCACGCGGACCCCAACCAAGTAGTCTGCATCTACCAACATGGCTAAGACGAGGAGTTGATGACTTCAATCTCTGATGCCACGTTTTGGTTTGGCTGCCCCTAACTTTCTTCTAGCCGTCTCCAACATTAGTCAGCATTGTACGCCGTGGTAATTGGTGATTGGACATGTGCAATACGTCACCCAACCATCTCAGTCGATGAAGATTCATAACCTCATCAACTGATTTACCATCATTCCCTAATACCCTGCGTCTAATCTGACTATTACTTACCCAATGATCCCAACAGACGCAAGTAATATTTCTGAGGCATCTGTAATCAAATACCTGTAGCTTACGAATATCTTCTGCTCTTAGTGGCCATGTTTTGCAGCCGTAAAGTAAAACAGAACGAACTGCCGCGCAGTATACTTGTCCCTTAATTGTGAGACGGATATCTCGCCTTCGTCATAGGTGACGTAAGATGGTGAAGGCCAAACGGACTTTCCAAATCCGTTCAGAAATTTCGTCAGACACCAACCCATTAGGGCTAACCAGGCCTCCAAGATAAGTGAACTTGTCAACGCGTCCGACTACTTCACTCCCTATCCTTAGTTCAGGTGTTAACGCAGACCAGTCCTGAAGCAACAACTTGCATTTAGAGGGGAGAAACGCACATCAAACATCCAGGCATTGTTGCTCAGTGTTGCCAGAAGACTGCATTTTATCAGTGTCTTCACCAAACAGGACTATATCATCTGCGTATTCTAGGTCGATAAGTGTGCCTCCTGGAACGAGATCAATACCCGAGAATTCAGTCGACAAGAATGTTATTTCCATCAGTAGGTCTATGGTGAAGCCTTGACGGACACCACTTGAGGTTGCGAAATCAGATGACAGTTCTCCATAAGCTCTCTCGAGCAAAGAGCCTTCACAAGGTTTATGTACTTTTGAGGTACACCTTTCAATGACGGACACTGCCACAGAATCTCGCGATCTACCGAGTCAAATGCTGCTTTCAAGTCAAGAAAGACCACCATTGTCGGACGCCGATAAGTAGGCCTATGTTCTAGAACCTGAAGAATGGTGAATATGTGATCGATGCAGCCACGGACACCCCAATCAATGTTGGCCCACCAACAATTGAGACCAACATGACGATCAGACAAATCGAGAGCGGAAACGTAGCGGTACCAGACAGACGTGGCAGTAACTGCAAGTATGCTTCACGTTCTGTTCAACAAGATTTGGGAGGAAGAACAAGTGTCGATGGACTGGAAAGAAGGGCACCTTATCAAGATGCCAACGGAAGGAAATCTGTACAAGTGTGAAAACTACAGAGGCATCACACAACTGTCAGTACCAGGAAAGGTTTCTAACAGGGTGTTGCTGAACCAAATGAAAGACTCAGTAGACACCCAACTTCGAGATCGACAGGCTGGATTTCATACGGATCGGTCGTGCACAGACCAAATCGTGACACTACTGATCATCGTTGAGTCAGGCAAGGTTGCTTACTCTCACCCTTCCTCTTTCTCCCGATGATCGACTGGATTATGAAGACGTCAACATTTAGGGGGAAGCATGGGATATAGTGAACAACTAGGATACAGCTGGACTGTTTAGACTTCGCAGATGGTCTGGCTCTTATATCGCACACTCAACAAAAAAACAGGAGGACACGACCAGTGCAACAGCAGTAGGTCTCAACATACACAAAGGGAAAAGCAAGATTCTCAGATACAACACAGAATGCAACAATGGAATCACATTTGACGGAGAAGATTTGGAAGATGTAAAAACCTTTATATATCTGGGCAGCATCATTGATGAACAGGGTGGATCTGATGCAGATGTGAAGGCGCGGATCGGCAAAGCAAGAGCAGCATATCTACAACTGAAGAACATCTAGAGCTGAGAGTTCTAGTTCTTACAGGCTAACTAAATGGCACTTAGCTAAGTATGTATATTGTTATTTGGTAATTGAAAGCCTAAAAAATAAAACATTTGAGCAACTTTATTCATTAAGAAAATGAGGTTTTCTCACCTCTATCGTGTAGAGGGAATCATTGTTATTCTGTAAATCTATTTATCATAATATACGTTCTATGTTATGCTTTTTTATAGTTCTTTGCTACCTGGTTTTATCTTATTCAGTCTCATTCTTCAATAATCTTTCACCACTCTTAGTATAAACCGTAAGAATTGTAGTCAATTCAGATATGAATCAGATTTTGTCTGTGATTATCAACTGACTATAGTTTTACTCAGTAATCGTGTAATAGTCTGACACAGTGTATCTTGCCCAATTAATAGCTGTATTTTCCTCTTTTAGACTGTATGGGAGTTATTTTGTATCATTCGGACATTGCTCAAGTGGGTTTGTGCGACTCGATATAGGCTTGCTGTTTTTCTCTGTATTTTTCTGCTGACAGTTTTCTTGTATACCATCGGGAAACAGCATCAAAGTAATTTGTGTATGGTTGTAAACTTTGTTATTCCAGGAAGTTACGATAGTCATGTGAATAAACCCATTTTGTACATAATTACTGCTACATATCAAAGAAACGTTCAACGTGCAGAACTTACAAGAATGTGTAACACTCTACGTAATCTGAAGGATATTTTATGGATTCTTGTAGAAGATAGCACAGAACCTTCATGGTAGTCTTTCTTTGGTTTAGTATTTAGTATGTTGTTTGATCAGTTTTCTTCATGAAACTACTAATTGAGTTCAATTAGATGAAAGCTTTATACCTTTTAATTGCTCTTTTTTGAATTTAACTTGGTTGTTGCTAGTCGCATCTACCTTAGTGAAGTTTTTTCTAACTATTTGAAATATGATAATGTGATAAGTGTACTTTATTCTCTTTTAGGGTTGTATCAAATATTTTAGATGATTGTGGTGTCCCTTTTGTACACCTAAACATCCCAACACCACAGTCAGAAAAACCTAAAGTGAATGAACCCTTTTGGTTTCGTCCTAAGGGCATACTTCAACGTAATCTTGGACTACAATGGTTGCGCCAGAATCTTATTTTAGGTAGAAACAAAGGTGTCTTATACATCGCCGATGATGACAACTCCTATAATTTACGTATTTTTGAGGAAGTAAGTTTATAAATTTTTGTATGCTTAATTTTCATCATACTAAATTAATGCAGCTTATGGACACTTTCTTTTTTTCACTTCATTAATTGTCAGTTCCTGTCAGAAAAAACCACGGTTGATCAGGATAGTTGGTCAAAGTTATTGACATACCAACTGTTCTATTTTATACCTTAAGGTGAGACTTGGTTCAAGTTCGGTTATAATTAACGACAATTCTACTGAGCTATATCGTTTGCTCAGATTCTACTATGGCTAGTAGGTCGGTTAGAAGCGCAAATAATTTATTTGTGGAAGAGATCGTACCATCAAGTTTATCAGAGAGTATCGGAAGTTAGGTATTTCTCATAAATAACTAGCGTCTTAGATCCTGACATCTCATAAATCGGGTGAACATTTAGAAAGCACGAGTCATATGAACAGCTTTACTACCTTTGTCGAATAGACCAGGTTTCACAGAACTGAAGTAGGACTCTGCACTAACATGGTGCTACATAGATACTGAAAATGGTACAACAGTCCTGTAGATAATGGAAAGAAAAGAGTGAATTTTAATGGATAGGCTTTTAAATCGACAAATCGATTACTTCTTGTCTTAGTTTGCCGGATATTAATAAATTAGGGATATAAAGTTTTTTATTTCCTAGTGTTACAAAGTGCCATTTGAAATGTCTGTTTAAGCAGGACAAAAGGATGTCAGTCTGTCTCACTTTCAAATGTTTCAAGCCCTGGTATTTTTTCTCCGCTGTTTCATTACCAAAATAAACTACTTCGCTAGCACATATTTCATAAATTAGTCACTAAATAACAAATTCATGGCAGAGTATTAAAGCTCAAAAACATTAGTAGTTTTCATCTGGAAATGCAAATAAAAGCTTGACTAGAAACAAAAGATATTGACTTCTTTGTACCGTTTATTGATTAAATTTAAGTATGAAAAGTTCATCCATAACTTCAGATGCGTGGTACAAACAAAGTTTCAACATGGCCGGTTGGATTTGCAGGTGAACTCCCATGGGAGGGTTGTGTGACGTCTAAAAATCGGACGCACATTATAAGTATGTGGTCAGTATACAAACCCGAGCGTCCTTTTCCAATTGATATGGCAGGATTTGCAGTTAATATTGATCTTATTCTTCAACACAAGAATGCTGGATTTGACTACAAACGTTTACGTGGAATGCAGGAATCACAATTTTTGTTAGATCTTGGTTTAAAAAATTGGAGAGAATTGGAACCACTAGCAGATGGTTGTCGGAAGGTAAGTTGTACTGTTCTCAAATTTTATTATGCGTATGCTGGTACCTGTTGTTGATCCATATCCATCTTTATGTAGTAGGTCACTTGTCGGATCGCGAAAGGGTTTTTGACATTTTAGTGGTATTCACTACACTTATTTTGAAATATGCAGTGTAATTTCGTCGTAAAATTGGATTCAATACCTAACCCATGCTTTTATTGTTCGGTCACCTAAACTTTTCATGTGGTTGCTTATTATTTGGCCACTTCATCATTATATTTGTCTGTTCAATTACCAATATTGTGTTTTACAGCTGCAGTTATTCTGTGTGCACTCAACTGACTAGCACAAGCATTCAAGCTGAATATTATCTATTTATTATTAACCTAAGACGTTGATTTCAAGAATGATAGAGAATGAAAACGATAATGACAACAATGCGGGTTTTGATTGTTCATAATGATAGATATTTCATAACTGATAAGAAATCGACAACCGGAAGCATTGACACTAAACTAGAAACAATAAAAATTATAGCGTTAACATAAATGAATACTTGAAACTAGATGATGTTCGTAGACTAATAGTATATGATCATAGATGCCTTCAGAGTGTTTCTCGTGGATGTTGGAACCACCAACCAATGTTGAAGTTAGATACATTGTACTAGGTGAGAATGACAAATTTATTGATGAGGCGGTAAATATCCGTTGACTGTAATAATCAGGTCATGTACTACCTACACCCAACCACCAACGATGATGACGTGTAGCAGTAGGTCGAAAGAAAGCTAACGGTAACCAAACTTAGACTTTACATCAGTCCTTAAAGTCACCGACTATTGGATGAAGCTATATAGATGAGTGTAGGTGGCTGGGTGATATCTGCGCGATTTTCGTAACCAATGTTGAGAGACTTTGGGTGATTTAGCGGGGCAGGTGCACTCAATGTTTATCTTCTCTCAAATCTTAAGTTTCTAAATTTTTTTGTGACTTCTTTACTTCATGAATCCATATTTTCTTGAATGCTATCTTCTGTACTTAGTGTTTCCTAATACTGCTAACACTGTTCTGCTTATACGTCGTCTTCCTGTGATGTGATGTAGCAACTTGAATCGATGCACAAATATCCTAGGTTTTAGAGGAGAAGCGAAAAATCATCTCTTTCGCTGTTGCTAAAATTGTTAACATAATCTGAGCATTCACTAATATCATATTACATGTACATTCGTATAATTATTCAGCTTATTTTATTCCAAATACTTTTTACAATCTCCAGACATAATACAGTTATTATTTTTCGCTTGATAGTAATTTACCACAGTAACTTATTCATCAAGCATATGAGTGTGTGCATCTCTCTAAGTATGAGGACTGGTGATACTATCCAGTAGTTCAGTCTCAAGCAGATAAAGCGGGGTTTGAAATTGGGATTTAGTAACTGCAAACCACTCCGCTAATAATAAAATAGTATTCGTAATATATTGATTCCTTGGTATCATTTAATCTGAAACCATCTTCCAGCTGTACAACTATCTCTTTTTTACTTTTCACCTAGATCCTAGTGTGGCATACACGTACAGCAGAACCACTTTTAACACTATGGAATAAACTGGAATCGCAAGGAATTATAGCTCCACCTATAGATGATTGGCCTTAAAATATGTAGTATGATTCTAAAAGAAAACAATTATAATCTGTCTGTCAAAATACTTTTTACTTAGGCAGTATTCACTTATTCAATCAAGTGTATTCAAAAGAAACCAAAAGTTACATCTAAACGTCATACATAATCAGTCATTCAAATTGTTCATAATATAACGCATACATTTTCTTATGTAAATAATATATAGTTCGTATCATATTACTTATTATTTATAGAAATAAAATATTTTTGAATTTCTATCATTTTTGTATATATTCTGAGTTGCTCTTCTCACTTGTTTATTTGTAATTGTGATTGTTTTAATTCCTTTTGATAAATAGTAGTTATTGTGTATAATTTATTCAGTTCGGTTTTTTTAAAACAAAATCCTTGCTATCACACAACGAAGCTATATGGAAATCAACAATTACTGTGTAGTTTGATCAGTCAATGAGAAAAGTGGTTTTCACGAATTGAGTTTTCAATTCAAACAGCTTCCGCATAATTTCCGTTTTGTATTCGTGTGATGAATTAAAGAGATAACTACGTACATGTCTGAAGTTCACAGAGTACTGAACACGAAGTTTACAATGAAATACGCTATTCTAGTCTAATTAGTTTACTTTGTACTCACTAAGACCGCTTTTACTGTATTTCTATTCGTATATATATTTCGTGTACCTATAATTGGTTGCCTATCCAGTTATTTAAATATTATTTTGTTATTACTGCAACTCCCATCTCATCATATTGTTTTGTACGTGATTGGTGTTGAATTTCAGATATGATTATTAATTCCTATCGATTATTGCATACAGTACAGTATAATTTTTCAAGTCAAACAGTGGTAATTTCGACTCTCAGTTTGATATACAAACGCGTACGAATTATACTGATTTATATTGGCTATTATATCAAGTTTTTCCTACACTTGTTTACTATCTTTTGGATTGTGTACTTTGTATCTGCTGTTTCCATTGCATCCTGTATTTTCTGGAGTATAGTAATTCTACTTGGAAATAAATAAAATTGATGGCTTTCATAGGGAATATGGAGTTGTATTTTCCTCATATTAGACTTCCAAATCTGACTTCATTTAATGATTCATTTGCATGGCCGTGTCATATAGTTTCACCTTATGAACTAGATAGATTATAACACTTGTTTTCCCTTTCTCAGTGAAATCATGTTAGTAATGGGATAATGAGACGGAATTTGTCATATTCTTCCTTTCGTTTGTGGTAAGTCAGTTGTAACATGAAGACTACAATGAATTTCGTCTCATTTTCCTGTTACTGGCGTGATCTCCATGAGAAAAGAATACTGAGTAACTAAACAACATGATAAAAGTAACTGGTTTATCTTATATATTTCTGATGAGTTACCCTAGGAGTAATTAAAAGCTTATAGTGCATATTACTGGGAACACATCACAGTAATTTATTGCTCTGCAGTCTGTTGATGATATCTTCGCTCCATAAAGTGGGTCATATTTCGTGTTTCGATTTTCATATTTTCTGAACTTTCGATGGGAAGACTTGCTTTGAAGGCGCTTCAAGTTTCTTTTTCATTATCAGTATTTCAGACCTATGTAAATCTTTCCATTCCCATCCACACTTTGAACTGTGCTGACTACTCTACACCTTTTACACATTAAAGTTCATAGTAATTAGGATGACGTGGATAAGGTAAACTTTATAAATCGTACTTTATTTTCGATCCTGCCTGATATAACAGATTAGTCAGTTGTATATTATAACAGGTTTTTAAGTTAGTCCATTAATTCTGGTTTCGCTTCTTCTAATTCACGTCAATCACTGTCGTTGTTCAATGAGTTCCGACTCCTCCATAGACTTGAATTTACTAACTTGGCTAATTCATCGTATAAATGCCATTTACATTCACAGCAAAAAGTCATTGCTTTTCGAATAAGGATTATATATGTTGCCGTTAGATAGATGTTCTGTATTTAAGTAGTCGAATTTAGATAACTATTTTATACATGCAGCAATAGAACGAGACCATCTTAGATTTGATAGAAAAGATATTTCTCTCCAACCATAAATAGTGGTATGTAAAAGTATTTTTTTCGATAATTCGTCTTTCCCTAGTAAAATTTATTTTGTACGCTGAAACTGTTGTCCATATATAGTACAAAATTCAAGACAACATGAATGGTATGACCTCCAATCCATTTCATAGTGATATACACTTTCGAACTCATCAATGTTCAACACTAGGCGGGCAAAAAGTGCTATCACTTTGGCATTTCAATAATCAATAGTAGTGTCTCATTAAACTATTATGAGAAGTAGATATTTTGAAACTTCGTAAATTCCTAATATCTTCTTGTTTGATGTTGTGAACAGGTTGTGTAACTGTAGTCTTTTCTTAACATTGCTTTTGACTTTATAAACTATAGTTTACTTTTTATTGGGACATATTTTAGGACAATGGAAATCGTACAGGATTTGGCAGCCTCCACTTTGAAAGATAATCCATACTTTAGTGCCGGTGCTGGGCTATTTGGAGTTGGGATAGGAATGGCTGCCCTTAGAAGAATGAGTCAAGTTATAAACCTTCTCGTTCGCCGTAATCTCACTTTAACTTTAGAAGTAGCCAGTCATGATAAGGCTTATCCCTGGGTTTTACATTGGATTACGCTGAAATCTAATGGACCGTTAATGAAAGGTGGAAAAAACAAAATAGGTGGTACAAGTCAACACTTAAGCGTTGAAACTAGTGTAGTACGTACAGAAGGCGGGCGAATCAAAGCTGCATTCGGCTTTGTGCCTAGCGTTGGCGTTCACTATATGGTTCACCAAATGAAATTAATCCGAATTGAACGTGTTCGTGCTCAACAATCCTTACAAGGTGCTACTGTAGCTCCATTCGAAAGTGTAACTCTTACGACGTTCGGTCGCAACGCCAGATTTTTTATTGATTTGCTCGAGGAGGCTAGAGAAGAAGCTCTTGCACGTGAAAAGGGTTGGACCGTTGTTTACAAGGTAATTAAGGCACATATGTACTGACCCTTGTTCGTGTTTAAGTTTCACAATTATCATTTATTCTGATCTTACTCTAATGTCGAAAAAAAATTATCAAACTAATTGTCGTTACTATTGAATATCAGTTTTACCATATTACTAACGTGATTATTTTCACAAACGGTTCATTTTTACGTTGAATATTTCCTACAGAAATAGCATCTACAGGACTTAAAAATGTATAACTACAAATAATTAAATAAACGATATTGTGCAAACTTCCCATGTTGAAAAGTTTAATGTGCGAGTTACACTTGTAATAATATAGCAGTGAAGTGTTTCATCTAAAATATATGTGTTTGACTTTCCATATTACACTACTCCAAAGATATTGAAGTAAGAGATTTCTGGAATTTATATAATTATATTTTCATCCTATTGTGGGACTCGTCAGCAGTGCGCATCCACGATCCCGCTCGCGGGACTGAAACCCAGGGCCTTCAGTCTCGCGCGCGAACGCTTAACCTACTGGACCACTGAGCCGGCATCCAATGGTGTTAATGTCTAACCTCAACCAATTCACGAAATTGTGCGACCATCTTCCATTGTACTGAGGCAGATACCTATCTCTACCCGACACGGATGAGCTCCACATCAGTCGGTTCATGATCTCAATCAAAAACGTAATAATCTCCACAACCCCTATACTGATAATTATCATGTGCTTACTAGTGACTAGCTTCGTGAGGGAATTCTTAGAGTTCTAGTGAGAAGCCGTGACCAGTGGAGCTAATTGGTGTTGGGTAGAGACAGGTATCTACCTCAGTACAATGGAGGATGGTCGTGCAATTTCGTGGATTGGTTGAGGTTTGACATTAACGCCATTGGATGCCGACTCAGTGGTCCAGTAGGTTAAGCGTTCGCGCGCGAGACTGAAGGCCCTGGGTTTCAGTCCCGCGAGCGGGATCGTGGACGCGCACTGCTGAGTAGTCCCAAAATGAGACGAAACGACCTTTCCAGCGCTTCCAAGTTTTCAATGGTGGTCTAACATCAATCGGTTCATGATCTCAATAAAAAAATTATAGTTTGTTTGATTATTTTACATATTCTGAAGAATATCTGTTCAAGTAGTTGTTTAGTAGAACTGATGTTGTTTTTCTAAATTCATTTTCCGTTCATAAATTATCGTTGTCATTTGCTACTCAGAAATGATAATCATACGGTTTTTTAGGTTAACTTGTGATCTGACAATTTGAATGCATAAAAAAGTGAATCATAAACGGACGTTTTCGTTTAGGACGATTCTTAATATATTAGTCTCATAGCTGTACACTTATTTGATTGCAAGAAAATAATTCAGGCTTCCTCTGTGATTTTTTTCTAAGCAGTCAACACATAAAAGATTTTCATTATGTAATTGTCTAGATGCTAGAAGTTTCCTACTCAATTCTTACGGAAACACTTGTGGTTTTATAATATAATTTACCTAGGCTATATATAGATTGTCTTCTAATTTCCGTCGGCCATATCGGTTCATATAAGAACATAATAAGTGTAATAATCGTACGAAGAAGTCGTTTTTGGTTTTAGGTTTTTCCAGTACAATGAATGTATCTACCTCAAAGAACAGAGACGTACTTAGGATTGCTTATTGGTAATGAGTAGATAATTGATTCCACTTAATTATTGCTTCAATTTAATTTTTAGTTATACTTGTTGGATGCAAGAATTATGTGTATAATTTTAGTTATTTGCTATTTATACGGTGTAGGCTGTTGGTTCAGAATGGCGCCAGTTTGGTTATCCTCGTCCACGTCGACCTTTAAATTCTGTCATACTGCGTGATGGTATAGCTGAAACTATTGTAGCTGATGTCAAAGAGTTTGTTGGTAGGTAAGCTTTTCAAAAGCAAGTTGTTATATTTTATTTTAGTCATTATTTATCCCTTGTAGTTGATGAGGCTATCGATGAGAATAATAAATAGTGAATGATATATTAGTTAAACAATAATCCAGGAAAATTTTTGTTTCAGATCTCCCTCATAATAGAACGGGGAAAATTACTGATAAGTAATAAATCTAACTATTTATCCACACCTTATATGTTTTGTATTAGATTCGATTTGCTAAATACTGATCAATATCCCATTTTTACAATAAAATGTTACTTTCTCACCATGTATGTCCCGTGAACTTATGGTAAATTTTGATCAGTATGTGAATTCTTGTTATGTTTCAATTGGTTTCGAATCAGTTTTCACCATGATTGTTCTAATATTGGTGTTTATATTACTGATGAAGCTCTTAGTGCATATAAGATCAGTATGAATAATTTCAAGTTGTTTCATTTGTCATTGTTTTTTTGTATTTCGTTGTTTGAAATACAACCTATTGAACTTTATCGATCATTACAAAGAGCGTAGATTCTCATAAGACACACTCCTCGTTTTAGACCCGTATTAATTATGTGAATCGTATAACACTACCGTCAATCCTTTGTCACAATAGCTTGATGGAATGATAATTATTCCCTGAGTTGATCTGGGAATAATAACATTTCTTGACGTTTGTCAGATACTTTCGCTGACGTCAATTGTAGAAATGTAATTAAATCATTCTCAAGTTTTATCAAGCATCTAAATGAAAGCACAGTATGTCTAAATAAATCACGTGTTGAAATTCAAGGGACTAACTGACAGCGTTTATTGCAGATGTTTAAAAATCAGCATCTATCCGTTAACTGTAGTTCGGTATTGAAATTAAGTCATGATAGTCCTTTCTTAAAAAAATTTCCTTGTTATGAAATAAGTGTAGCGATTACTAAGCAATCTCTCACTACCGTATTCTTTTGGACACCAATTTTTCGTTTTTTCTTTCTATTGTCATTTAGACAACCAGGCCTGGTACACTGATCGTGGTATACCATATCATCGTGGTTATTTATTATATGGACCACCAGGATGTGGCAAAACTAGTTTCATAACAGCTTTGGCAGGTAACATATATACTACTTATCAGCTCGTAGTTTTTATGATCATTATGTGACAATATCAGGAGGGTGTGGTTTTAAAAAATTCAAATAGCAGATTTATAATCATGTAAGCATTTCAACGGAAAGTATGAATCTGACTAATTGTAAAATATATCAACAGAACGGTTCTTCACCTAGAATTAGTCTGTAATATGTTGACATTGTTACGAATGTTAGAACAGTCATTTGCCACACTTTTTCGTTCAACTACAATGGAATAAATCGTTTCCCAGATGAGCCTTTTTGAAGATATGTATACATATTTTGTGTTTCACCTTTTCATTCTCTGTTCGATTTGCACTGAAATTTGTTGTTTATTTAATATTTCAATAAAAATAATGGTCATTTGTCAAGATAAATTTTAATGCTTAACCCTGAATAAATAGAACTATAACGCGTCGTACAAGCGATTCGTATTCATAAATTTAAACAAATCAAGACCGAAAATATTTACGGAATGCAGTGAATCCACCACATTTCATTACTTCCTTTTCAGCTACATACGAACCAATAATTTTAGTTGGTTCCAACTTTGATATATTTACTTCAATTTTATAAAGAGTGACATCAATACACAAGCTCACATACTTAAAACGTATTTCAAATCTAAATATGCAAATGTTTATTTTTTTCATCAAAGTAGTTGATCCAAATGATAAACTGAATTTGCTATGTGAATGATTGTGGATTTTATATTAAGCTTAGATTAATTTCTTACCAAAAGAGGTACCTAAAAACGGTTTTCAGCATATCATCTCTCACCTTCTTTAACATTTTAGTATAATTCCATTATTTGTTAATCTTAAAAGATCCATTTATATGTAGACAATTTTACCGTTATTGGATTATCATTTTCGTAATATCAGAAACAAATGTCCGTTGGTTAAGTTGTCACAGCTCACGTCATCGCAGCGTGTGCGAGGATTATCAAATTGACTCATATTTTCAAAGATGATATTTCTTTTTTGAGGTTGATTATTACCAAGTATTTTTTATTAGAGTCCCTTGAAATTATATGAATTAGGAGTCTCATTTTGTTTTTACTGTAGCTTGTATAAGCCTTAACAATTTGTTTGCTAAACCTAATGAATATAACAATGAATGACTTAATCAATTTCTGAAATTATTTTCTAGGCCATTTAGATTATAGCATTAGCATATTAAATTTAAGCGAATTCGGCATGACGGCAGATCGATTAGATCATTTATTAACGCATGCACCGCTTCAAACTATCATCTTACTTGAGGATATTGACGCAGCAGTGCATAGTCGTAACACATCAAATAATGATCTACTTCATAGCAAAGGTTGGTTTCGTTTAGTTTTTATCGTTTAATTAATGTCATTTAGCTTATGAAGGTATGCCAACACTCACTTTAAGTGGATTGTTAAATGCACTAGATGGTGTAACCTCGACGGATGGTCGCATCATATTCATGACTACAAACTATATCGATCGGTGAGTATCTGAATTATTGCATACAAACTTTTTTCCCATATTAACTCTCATTTCCCAGGTGCAGGTTTGTGTAATTTTATTTAGATCATATTATCCAGTAATTCAAACCGAATTAGATGGAGTGGCGTTCTAGCCTGCTTCTTGGTAGATAAAAGTTAAACTCCTCGGCCATAGTCGATACTTTGAACAACTATAAGTAAAGTTGGAGTAATTTCTTCTTCACTACAACTGGTTCATAGTGAAATTATGTATTTTAAATTTTATATATTCGTAAATAAATTTTTCTAATTGGTAATCATTAATGAACAAATTCAAAACAAACTGAAACTATAGTAGGTAGAACAGAGGTAATTATCAATCGCTGAATTTAATTTTTTTTCTGTTATGCTTAGGTGTTATTTATAGTTTATCTATTTATTTAACAACATGAAACTTGGCACAACATAGTACTAAATAATAAAATGTGTCTGGAAGTATAGATAACATTGTAAGAAAAAGGAAGTGCATTTGGATAGAAAGGAGTGATAGTTAATCATTAACATGAACACTATATCAAGAGGAGAGATATTTACGCATACGAACAATTAAACGCGGAATTATTTCAGCTAAAAAAGTTCATTTGACATTTATGAAGAATGTTGGCAAAATTAAAGCAGCATTGCCATTTTTTCTGTCCTGAATCAAGTTCGATAACGTTTGAGTTGGATCACCTCTAGGACCTCGAACGGAGCGGTGGTGAACCGGCAGGTGCTACTCCTACACTGCTTAACTCAAATGATGGTGACAACCCGTAAACCTCTCCGCTTTTCCTAATCAGTCCCAGCGTCGGGAATTAATGCAAAATGTGTAAGCCGCTGAGGTGACATGTCCAGCCAACCGAAGCCAATGTTTCAGGGCAGTGAAATCAATTGAGTTATCGTCACTATGTCCAAACAAGCATTATCAAACATAGTGTTGCTATTACCTGTTGTGAAAACCCCTCCGAAACAACAACGACTGAACACATAGTCGTATGACATCCTCGACTTGCAGATGCCAGGTTTTGAAGCATGGATTAAAACTACTCTCATTTCCATAGTATCCCACACCAAAACTCTGATTCTCCTGAAGAATAGCAATATGGTTTCGTTTCGATTGATGGTAGTCTCAGAACACGCCATACTAGAAGACGTTTACCATGCACTCATTACAAGTCATGGTAACCTGACTTGGTGGTGTTGTGTTCTCTAAGCTGAAATGGCTTAGTTGTAAAGCTTTCACTGGCTTGATGGTGTCTTTCAGAGAAAGAGAATGAAAACCTCGCGACTAAAATTTTCAGCTTTAGGGATAGAACACCACCAAAACCCAATCAATATTTGGTTTTAGTTTGGATGGTTCTCGATAACACTTCGAAAATACCGAAACTGAACTACAAATGTCCTCTATCTCAAAATATTAATCAATCCGTGTTTCCCCCCTTTCTTTACATTTTTATCCTATTTTTTGACGTAAAACAATACAATTTTAACTTACCTGCAGAGATGCATAAATGAAAAAAAGTTAAGTCATAAAGAGATGTGTTCAATATAGATTTTTTTGGTTGCTTGTGTATCCGAAGGGTGTACATAAGTATAGTCGTTGAGGATTTTTATAAACACTTTATTTCGAACAATATAGTCCAATATTGTTTACTTCAAAATATCATACAACTAAACAAAGTCAGCGTTTTATGCATTACTTTTTAGATTCGTCTGTCGCTTAACCAGGAAGCTTCACACAAATGAAATAAGAGCTTGGCTTCAGCTATAAAAAATTTTTTACAATAAGTGTGACTTGTGTGTTTTTTTGAATGATCTCACAAATAGCTTGTCATGTAAACAAGCCAAACTAGGGGGTTCTCGTGACATTTGCACTAATGCTTGCTTAAGTCATCACCTAGTACTTTACGGATGATCAGCAACGGCAGTCTATTTACGCATAAATTTACTAGCAACGTAATAACTGTATTACTTGGTCGGATTCGATAATACACTCGTGTTACTGGTCTTTATTTCGTTATTATTATTGCTGATGTAATAACTCCACCTGCAGCTTTGTAGAATACTTGTAGTTAATTTGTTGATTCACCGTTGTTTTTTTTACTGACAGACTTGATCCTGCTCTAATACGACCCGGTCGCGTTGATATGCGTGTACGAGTTGACGTTTGCGACTCGTCTCAACTAATGCGCATGTTTAGTCGATTTTACCCACAGTGGACGTCGTCTGACATTAATAATTTAGCTCAAAAGTTTGCAAGTCTATTAAAGGATACACCTTTGAGTTCAGCACAAGTTCAAGGTTATTTGCTGTTGCATAAAGATGACCCTTTAAAAGCAATTAGTAATATAAATCAACTGTTGTCTCCGTATGATTCATAAATTTTTAATCTTATACCCAGTGATACGCTTAAAATGTAACGTAATTTAGATTCTCAGGATGGTTTAGATTATTGTTGATTACTCCCATTCAAATTGTTTGTTGTTCATAATCTTGTGTACATAATCAATGTTTTTAATCAAATAAAGAAATTCGTATGAAAAGGTTAGTTAAAATGTCCAAATTTCTACTTGAAATGTGAATTATTATCCAAAAGTTTTCAGTAAACTAGTTATCTGAATATACGGATGAAATCTATCTGTCATAAATTGTGATTGGGGATATATTGATTTCAAAATTCCTCTAATTCGAACTCGATGGACCGGTAACTGACACGAAACACTCCGACTATAATTCCCAACGTAGTGGTGGACGGAGAAGTTAGTAGAAACAGGAAATTCAAGGAGATAGATTTCAAATGAAACGACCCAGTATAATAGCATCAAAACATGATTTTGGGACACTCAAATTAGGAAACTAAAAATGAGAATAGCTAAACAGATAACAGCAAATTTCATTGCGGAAAAATGAATCCGCAAGTTAATGTTACATTTAAAAACCGACATTTGAAAAAAGCTAAAATCTCCTTAGCAGTGCACAATCATACCCAGTAGTTGGTTCACACGAATTAAATCGCATAATAGTGTGAGTTTTATCCCGACTGTTTTTTTCTGCCTTGATGTGGTGGTCGGGCTTGCCTATCGTAATGAACGAATCGAGCTATACTGGCTGGAACAATCGTTCCTCAAGGCCCTACCATGCCAGATAGGTCAGTTGAAGAACGGTAAGATTAAAAGCAGCAGACTCAAAGGCGATGCCGTACTGCTGACTGTACAGAGGCGGGGCAGCATTAGGGTGTTTCCTTCAGACAACCAACATAACTGCAGTGCTGCCTTCCCACAAAGAAGAGTGGGGTTAGAAAAGCTCGACCCTAAAAATACCTCGCCTTATCCCACGAGTATCCGTCTCCGGTGGTAAGGTCCCAACACGTACGCAGCCAACATGGAAACTCACAAAAGGTCATGTATAACCGGCCTCAAGCGGTCGCCCCTTGGGCTCCGCAGTCACGCTCTCAGGTCACTGAGACCTCTAATCCAATATCATTTTCAGATACCTCCAAAAGAACCCTTCCACTTTGTGTGCGACCGGGCAGTGATAACGGCCCTCATACATCTAAAAGCACTCAAGACCACTTTATTCATTATCAACCTTCCTCTTCACCTCCTATTATTCCTCATACATCGACCTTGAACACTAAACTCCCTCCTTCGGTTTCCTCCTTAAGTGTCACCATAGCCAACGATTATATTGCGCAAAACACTGTACCAAGTCTAACTTTGTCAAAGACATGCTTTCAGATACAACGCTTTCATCATTTGACATTTCAGGGATTGCTATTATACCAAGATATTCTCTTTTTGAATTGGTCCTGTTTAATGAAGACGATGACAAAATACAGTCATCTGACCACCTTAAGCAACAATGCAAATATGTTTGGGATACTCTTCTCTTCCTCTTAATGCGGGATGTCACTTCAGGATTGGTTTGCATCAGCGCCAAAATTTACGCCAGGAAGTAAGGTATTTGCACGTACTGACCGCCATAACTATTTCGGCAGTCGCATCAGTCCCGATGACATTTAGTCACAGATGTAGAAGGTCCGCACTTAAAATGCTTATCGGCGTCCGACAATGATAGTTTATCTTGACTTGAAAGCAGCATTTGATTCGGTAGATCGCGAGATTCTGTGGCAGTGTCCGTCATTGAAAGGTGTACCTCAGAAGTACATAAACCTTGTGAAGGCTCTTTGCTCGAGAGAGCTTATGGAGAACTGTCATCTGATTTCGCAACCTCAAGTGGTGTCCGTCAAGGCTTCACCATAGACCTACTGATGGAAATAACATTCTTGTCGACTGAATTCTCGGGTATTGATCTCGTTCCAGGAGGCACACTTATCGACCTAGAATACGCAGATGATATAGTCCTGTTTGGTGAAGACACTGATAAAATGCAGTCTTCTGGCAACACTGAGCAACAATGCCTGGATGTTTGATGTGCGTTTCTCCCCTCTAAATGCAAGTTGTTGCTTCAGGACTGGTCTGCGTCAACAACTGGACTAAGGATAGGGAGTGAAGTAGTCGGACGCGTTGACAAGTTCACTTATCTTGGAGGCCTGGTTAGCCCTAATGGGTTGGTGTCTGACGAAATTTCTGAACGGATTTGGAAAGTCCGTTTGGCCTTCACCATCTTACGTCACCTATGACGAAGGCGAGATATCCGTCTCACAATTAAGGGACAAGTATACTGCGCGGCAGTTCGTTCTGTTTTACTTTACGGCTGCAAAACATGGCCACTAAGAGCAGAAGATATTCGTAAGCTACAGGTATTTGATTACAGATGCCTTAGAAATATTACTTGCGTCTGTTGGGATCATTGGGTAAGTAATAGTCAGATTAGACGCAGGGTATTAGGGAATGATGGTAAATCAGTTGATGAGGTTATGAATCTTCATCGACTGAGATGGTTGGGTGACGTATTGCACATGTCCAATCACCAATTACCACGGCGTACAATGCTGACTAATGTTGGAGACGGCTAGAAGAAAGTTAGGGGCAGCCAAACCAAAACGTGGCATCAGAGCTTGAAGTCACCAACTCCTCGTCTTAGCCATGTTGGCAGATGCAGACTACTTGGTTGGGGTCCGCGTGACTATCGTAACGAATGTTTGGAGACTCTGGGTGACATGGTTCAGGATCGATCACAATGGCGTCGGTGTATACACTCCCTGTCTTCCCTTAATCCATAAGATTAAAATTATTCCATACCTTTCTACGTACGAAATATTTTTCACTACGTGGAGCGATGGATATATGTGCCTGGTTCTACTTTGTAGCTGACTGACAGGGAGGGTTTTTTGAGATATATCTATTCATTTCGTAATAAACGGATGATTACTTAATTCTACATTCACTAATATCTCCCAGTAACCAATTGTATCGCAGTATGAGACGAAACGTAAAATTACTTCTTCATTAGTATTATCAACATCTTGGAAACATCGGAACCCTGTAACGAGATTGTAAGAAGCATAATAATACCGTTTGGATTTCGAAATTCCTGTAGCACAAATTATTAATATACGTGTCTTCCATGTTAAATAGTCACATGGATGCGGGGAATCCATCTGTACTAACATGCACATTCATCATATATGTATGCTTATGCAATGGAAAAAACCAGGTAATGCAGTTGTAAAAAACTTATAAGTTTATTCTACTATACAGATTGTTTCTTTTTGTTCTAAAAATAAAAATGACCAAGTTATGGGCTTTCGAGTTTTGTTGTTTCTGAATTATAGGTCTAGAAGTCCCAATCAACTGAACTTTTTTCATTTATTGTTACATAACACTGAATTATATCTCCTACTTTCCATTGTGAAATGAAATTCTTTGCGGATAAATTTTGATTCTCGCTATAAATATCCTGAACTTCAGGAGAAACTAATACAATACCACAATCTACTCCTTTTCGAATACTTTCAACAACAGATTTTTCATGACGCAATGAGTAACAGATAGCTCGATCCACTATGGTACTTTTAGAATCAGAAAAGTTTTTTTGAGCGGTGGTTGGATTTTCTCCATGTTTATTGTTTGGTGATGTTGAATGGTGAGCTGGACGGACAATGCGGTAAGATAATTCAGTTGGTTCACCATCAACACCTAAAATGATAATAGAAGACAAAAAAAAAATGTTGTACGAATAATATTTAATGCCCTTATCATAGTCTCAGTTAATGCATCGGATAAAAGTAATATGTAATACATCGAAATATCGAGCTTAATGTAATATCACACAATACTGAGCAAAATTGGCAAAGCTTAATATCTGATGCATAATGAAAAAATTCTTTGAGTAACAATCTATTGTTTAGATAGGTGGTTTATTTACGTGTAAGGTATTCTAGTACTCTCGTAAAGATAAAAATGACGAACGATACTCAGTGTATTTGCGAACTACTAAATAATTCTCAATAGAAAAACCGGGAAGCTAGGTTTTTAACAACAAAGCAGTTCAATGTTGCTTCATTGAACTTACCACTACTTGGCTATTCATTTCACTGAAGCAGCAGTTAGCAATATTACGTAATAATTGACATACGCATGGCAAACTTTACAAGCCCAGCTTTCGTTGATTAGAACGTAATTAGAAATCTAGATTTAAAACCACTACTGCATTGAATAGATTTTACATCGAGCAGGGTAAAGAATCTGCCTACGGGAAATTATTTTGTTAAATTATACCACGATTTTTTAAACTTGATACTTGAAATGTATTTAAACAAAAGAAATTGGTCTATATTCACGAAAAAAATATCTTGATTGTGTTATGCTACAAGTTATTAGAAATGATCATTAGAATTAGCCTGTTAAATCGTTGATCAGAATAGCTTAATGAATGGATAGCTCTTAACTACTTATTGGCAAAAAAGAATATGAATGCTTAATTATTTTTGTATTCCATAACTACACCTGTGTAAGTGCTTTATGCAAATAGTTCCTTTTGTACGGTCGAGAGTGGGGAGAGTCAGCCCTCCCTCTCAAATGGCCACATACAACCTACTCACTGCCTTCTCGCGGCCGGGGTGTTGTTTACGAAATTGAGAGGACGAAAAGCAAATGTCCGGCGACTTAACCCGGTTGATGGACACGGAGGGTTCACTTAGAACAGTCGGAAAACCTTGATTCCAAACCAATGGTGCACATGGGCTCCAGTATCCTGAAGGAACAAATGGCGTATGAACCAATTGTTGGTCACTGGCTACCATGGGACTGCATCCTAATATCGCTCAACTACCTTGTGGACTAGATCATTAGGTGCGGCCTTCCAAGAAAACCACCTGCTTCGGCTTGGGTACCCGGGCAGTATCCCAGCTCTCACACAAATCGAATGATTTATGTGACGCATATCTATTTGGTGCCTCCTTGTATCAATGTTTATG